CTTTAATCCCAGCACTCGGGAGGCAGAGCCAGGCGGATCTCTGTGAGTTCGAGGCCAGCCTGGACTACCAAGTGAGTCCCAGGAAAGGCGCAAAGAGAAACCCTGTCTTGAAAAACCAAAAAAAAAAAAAAAAAGAAAGAAAAAGAAAACAGACAACCAAACGATGGACCAGGATGGTGCTTCCACAGGTAAGGGTGCCTGCCAGTACCCACAAACCATGAATAAATGTAGCAAGAAAAAAAGGGCAAGCATGTGGTGGTCTCCATTAAGAACAAAAGAAATTTTTTTCTTAAACTTATTCAAAGCTCACAGATTTTCATAATTAACACAATGCAAGTTGTCATTTCAAAGTTCAAACTAGTATCTTCATCAATAGAAATCAGCTGCTATGTGTGAAAAATGTGTTAAAGGTTTCTCTAGCCAAGAGCTGTTCATTTGTCTCTAGTTCATGGTCACTAGGACCAAAATAAGGTTAACAATAAGTTAACACAACTCAACCTATTTTACCAAGTCTAAATTTCAGAAAGAACTTACCTTTCCGGTCTGTCTTAAAGTCCACGAGAATGGGCTCCTTGTTCCCTTCTTTGTTCTTGCCTAGCCCTTCTCCTTCTCTCCAGCCCATCTTTCTCATCAAGACAGCACCCATTCCTCCAGTTACTGGGGCTGCTCTTAAGAACTGATCCTATCCAAAGAAAAAAGGGAAGAGGCCCCCATTTTACAGTTAGAACGGAACTACCAAGTGAATGGTAACTTAAGAAAAAGAAATCTTACTTTACTTCTAGATCTGAAGTAGCATTATATTTAAATTCTTCTTCTATGCTCAATACACTCTGCAGCATATGTTCTAATGATAATTACCAACACTTTGAAAGTCAAATGGCAATTTTAACACTCGCCCCTCGGTGCCCCCCTCCAAAAAAAAAAAAAAAAATAACAACAACAACAACAAAAGAGCCACTCCTGTTTCCGTCCACTATTTAGGTTCACTGGTATCTCTTCTTAGCTTGCAAAATAAAAAGAAGGCAATGTTAAAACAGTCAATATTAGGATCTCAGGTATACCTCGTTTATGAATAAAGCCTAGAAATTATTTTAAAATAGTTTGCACACTGAAGCATACAGTTGTCATCCAGTTTTCTTCCCCATTCTACTATAAAGTATCAAATTTTTACTTAGAAAAAATCCCTATGAAAGAGTAAATTTACATGTAGTAAGTTGAAAATCAGTACATAAAATACCCTGAGTACACCAAATTTGAACTCTTCTACAACCTGGCTTGTTGTTAAAAGACTTAAAAACTCCTTAAATGTTTACATACCTAGGCCTCGGCAGCAGCAGTGTTGTGAATAGTACGGCTGGCACTGACCGGGGCAAGAAGACAGCTACAAGGATTTGGCCCTGAAACAAGTTTCCATACAGAGGGGTGAAAGTTCACAGGTTATTCTGTGAACAATCATCTCTCTCGTATCCAACCCACTGAACCATAATTTCCATCAAAGCAGCAAACCACTTAATGTCCTAAGCTGCACAACTGTGTGCATTAGCACGGTCAGCAGTCTTGGATGTTCCAGCTGAGAAATGTCCAGTGCCTCTTTAAAAAGGTATCAATGCACTATGAATTCTGCTGTTGATCTTTGTGGGTTTTTTTTTTTTCCTTTTTAATTGAAGCATCTCTAAACCATGTTTTATTTCCAATTATTACAACATTTTAGGCTAATGTTCTCTGCCAAATATATACCATGTCATTACAGAAAGTCAAATGTTTGGTAACTTAGCAAGCAAGTATGCATTACTTTTCCTTCTATCAGTAAGTTAATACTTAGAAGTGGTGTTTTGACACTGCAGTAAAATATATATATATATAAGCTCTGTTTCCCAGCTTTATAATTAAATGTTGGGGAGAAAACAATCCAGTGACATGTGACTAGACATTAAGTTCAACAAGGTGCTCTGATGGAAGGAGGCAGCTGTGGAGGTAAAAACATACCCCTGGTTCAGTTCCTTATTTGGTGCAGGCCATGCATTGTGGATGTATAAAGAGAAAAGTTAGCTGATGCTTGGGTATCAACTGCCTTGATGCTACACACCTAGAGTGACTTTACTTACTTCCAGGTTCATCTCCCCCTCTTTTCCAGGAAACACTCCTAAAAAAAAGGGCAACTGTACAGACAGAGTACAATATAAATCCCCAAGTAGCCCAGTTTTCCAATCCTGTTTGCTATTATATTAGCATCTACCTCTTTATCCAGTGTAAAAACCTGTCTTAATCCAGTGAGACCACAATAACCAACATTTTTATAAAATCAAATCCCAAATCATTTGAGAAAATAAAGGCCCTTTAAAATCAGTTAACTTTTAAATGTTTTACTGATAAATGAGTGTACCAATGAAATATTCCTCTTAATCTAAAAGTATTCTAAAACAAACTAAAGAACAGAGAGGGTATTGGTTGGTGTTTCCCTATGGTTTTTAATACAGGACAGTGCTGGGCCAAAAAAAGCCAAATGGCCATTTCCATATTTCCCAAACAGAATTAATGGGTATAGGTAGTACTTATGATAAATACCAATGACATTTTCAGTTGCCAAATGACTTCTAAATGTACCGACCTATCTACCTGAATAAAATAATGCTCCTCTGGTTTTCATTAAGCAGATATTCTCCAGCAATTCGTTACATAAGATCATTTTCCTATGAGTGTTGATTTCTTCTATAAAGTAAAGCTTAGTCTGATGAACACATAACTTATCAAAATAATTTGCTTCCCAGATTATATTCTATAAAAAATGTATAGCAAAATCATTTTAAAGGTTCTAGTAAACATTAACTACTTAAGTACATAGGGAGCCACTTGACTAAGTGAAGACTCACCTTGGAAATTCACTTATGTTTATCTGCTCTTTATACATAAACACAGAGCAGCAGTGGAAAACCTTCCAGAAGCTTCTACCTGGCAACGCACATGAACTATTACAAGTATAAACATTCAAAAACACTTCATGTCTAACTTCCTGCAATCCCAAGCACTCAGCTTCAAGACAGATGAATGAAGCAGGACTGAACATGTGGCTCTGGACAACTTGCTTAATGTCCAATGTCCCAATAAAGTAAACACATAATCCTTCCTACTAAGATGACAGCTATTTTTTAACTATTTTATAATTTATACAAAGTATTACTATATAAAATGAGTGCAATCATTAAAAATACTGCTAGCTTATCCCTTTTTTCCAAAACCAATGCCTAGGTACATACTCATTCAACTATGAAGATGTGTGATACCTTACATTAATTTGTTAATAAGAGAATCACAGGTAATGCTTGCTATAAAACTGTTCAAAGCACCCAAAATTTTATTTTTTGAAAAACCCACCTCACCCATGACTAGCACTCATTCCAATTCTACAGGTAATAGGTACCCATCACAGCACTGATTACCACTGTCTGAGGCTTTGATATGATCCTGTCTCCCACACCACGTGACACTTGGGAGACAGAAATTCCAAGGAATTACTTGCCCATGATCACACAAGGAGTCAGGAGTACAGCAGGACAAAGAAACCTTCCCCATCCAAGAGACCACGCAGCCTCCCAGTTCAGCACTGCTGTTGCCAGTACTCCTGAAACAAATTTCTCATCACCCATCCAACCAAACCACAGCCCTTCACCAGATGTCATGTCTTCACAAAGCCCCCTTTTAACCACCTAAGACTCCCCCAACAATGAGGTAGCCGTAGGTAGAGTTGACAAATCTCATTTCAGGAGTCTGAGATCCGGTGCACCTACATCTTCGTAGCATGAGATGTCCGTCCTCTCCTTTCATTTTAGGTCTTATATATCCTGTTTTTTCATGAAGTCAGTGGTTCTCAAATTGAGCCTGTGGATCACCAGAGGCCACCAGAACCTAAATGGTGGTCCACAGATAGTTATCTCCAGCCCATCCCACCCACCTACCCCCCTTCACAACTGCCCACCCCACATTCCAGCCACCCTCCCACCCCCTTTCAGTCCCATGGCAAGTTTACCACATGCAGTATTAACTAGGGCCTCCCAACCGCTTAATTGCATCTAACAGCTGACCACCATATAGGGACCTGGGGCTAGAAGTCACAAAGGAAGGGAGGAGCAAAGGTATTCATAAGCGGGTGCAGGCAGTAATGAGAGGACAAGGATAGAGGAATGGAATATCAGGGTGGCAAAGGGCTCTTGGGGGCAGTGATCCACCAAAACTAAACCTGCAATAAAGTATCCCGTGATGAAAATGTTTGAGAACCACTGCTCTGAAATGATTAGGTTAGTAGTCCAACAGGAACTTCGGAATATTCTGAACAGCACCTGGTACAGTTAGCATTCAAAACAGTTAAGCAAAACCACCCCCACTAAAACCAACAGCAAAAAATATGAAAAACAACCACCTCCAGATATAAAATGAGTGTCTACTGAGCCGAATGTATGCATTTGGTATCGTGTCAGGATTTCAGCCCATCTTCAGTGTCCATCCTGGAGCATATATACACATAGTAAACTTACTCAGGAACTTAGGTTAGTCACTTGCCTCTGCATTTTTAATGTATGATTATCAAAAAAAAAATTGAGCTTTGTATTTTTTGATAGTCTGTGTACCTTTTTAATCCAGGCTTGGGCACCAGTATTAGCCAGCTGTTCCTGTGTCAGGACTTGCACTCCCGTACTTCCTGTGAACTGCCCAGGGATAGAGTTCAACTGAGCCCAGGCATCAATCTGAAGAAAAAGAAGCCATCTTCATTACGTAAAATTACTGATCTGATGTAAGTGCCATACTGGTAGTTTAATTCACTGAGGAAAAACGGTTTGGTTCCTAAAATAGCCAAATAATGATATATTTAAAGTTCAATGTTTTCCCAAGTCTTCCAGTTTTACAGCATTCAATGAAATCTACTAATGCAGAAGAAGGTATGAAGTTCATGTCTATGTCTAAAATTATCACTGTAATAATACTCATTCTTTAAAATATCAGATATATGAAAAATGTATGGCCAAAGATCTCTGCCTTTGACATTTGACCTCTCATAGAAATACCTTTAAAAATGTCATGCCAGTTAGATCTTTGATTCCTGTGAAATAATAATCTATATCTATCCAAGGTATAATGTAGAAAATGGTTAAAAACTGAAAAAGTAGACCATATCGCTCATCAACACCTACTGTGCTATAGACAGAATCAGGTGTCTTTCATATTGCATGTAATGCATATTTCATGTTGCATCTAATGCAATGTTACTTCTAACATAAACTGTTCCTACATAGATTTAGCATAAAATGAAAAGCTGTTTCCTTCCTGTTCAAAGCAGACTCTGGATTCATTATTATTGGGGTATGAACCCCAATTCCACTTACTAGTTGTGGATGCCAGCTGACTACTGTTGTAGCTCAGTTGGAGAATTAATAGTAGTACTACATGGAGTTGTTCTAGGCACTTAAGTGCACATCAGACTATAAACTCTGAGAGCAGGATGTATTTTCTGTTTTGTTCTCAAGAAATAGTTCTTGCCATAGTATACAATAAACATTTTCTTAGTTATTAGGTTTAAGTCATTTTTATTTAAAGTCATTTACTAAGAAAGAACAAAGTATAACAAGTATCGAGTATGAAACAGCATGTATAGACTTTGAGTCCAGTCCCAACTAACACAACCGAAAATGGTAATGGTTCCTCACAACTCAGCCATTTAGATAGTGAAATTCTCATTTAAAATTAAAAAAGCCACATACCCGTTCTTGAGCTCGATTTAACATACTCATGGCTTCAAGGTCAAATGCATTCTCACTGAGTCTCTTCTGAGCAAGTGCCCGTTCGCTCATTGCTGTTGAGATGTCCACAGGCTAAGAAAGAAAACATAGATAATTATCCCAAATTACCAGAGTCCCCTAATTCTCTCGGGTGCTTCTATATCTGTAGATGCTACATGTAAAAAAATAAACCACAGTCTATGTATTAAGATTCTTGGAAAATGAGAAGATTCGAAAGGCAAAGAGGGCACTCCTGGAAAATAGAAGACAATTAAGGTAAGTTAGTTATCACGTATTCAGAGGCAGAACTCAGTCCAAATTCTGATTTCATCAGTGTATTTTCTACAGTATCAACCTAAAACCATTGAGTTTCATTATGAACTCATTATCGGTAACCTGTAGATAAACTGTAGATCTGAATGGCTATAAATATTGTATTATGCTATACTCTTTTATCAGTTCACCTTACTCTACTTGATTATTAGCATAACTTCCAGGAGTAGTAAGCAAAGTCTGTAGATAAGCAAGCAGAACACCACTAGAGTCAACATGGCTTTTTACTCATCAGCAGGTTTCACAAGAGCACAGTTGGGCATGGATATGCTTTGTTCCTACAAACCCAGAATCTTAAAAATTATATTTAGTATATAGCTATTTTGAATGTACATACATTTATTACCATAATCTAGAAATAACACTGATTTTTAAAAGTGTTTAAGTCCTCCCCCCAAAATCCTATCGTCTACCTTTGACAACTTAGGCTAAGGTCTCATGAGGCACTCATAGTTCAGTGGTCGGAACGTGAGGTAAATCACCAGCATCCCAGATCTCTTAGACAGTGAAAGCATAGCCTCTTGTGCTAAGCAGAGGACGAAAACTAATATCATTTAACATCCTAGTGTTTTCCAGCTGTTCTACACAACAATTTTTTATAAAATGTTTATCTCATAGAAAGACTTACTGTTTTCACATACATGGGTTCTGCTTGGATTTTGCAAACATATCAGTAAAACAGTTTTTTTTTTTTAAATAAATAGAAGCTAGCAATAATTTCGCTGTGTACTGTGTATAATTCTTACAAAAATAAATCTATATACCAAAGGAAGCTTCAGGAGTAAGAATAATGTATAAGGAAGTGTCCTTTTCCCAACTTCAAATTCACTTATATATTATTCTAAGTTATCTTGATTAAAATTGTCCAAGACTCCTTTAACTAAATCATTTTTTTTTAAAAGTATACTTTTCTGGCTTATAATGCAAAAAAAAAAAAATGTAAACATAATTTGTGCCTATTAGACTACTTAATGTCAATGAAAGCTCTCACTTGCTTAGTTAACAGTATTATCCATGCTCTATTTATTCTTAAGGCCTACAAAAGTTAAGACAGCCTATGTAAAGTCGCACCAGAATACTAGAGTCACCTTTTGCTTTTACTGTTGACTTCTGGGACTCAAATCTGCTCCACGTGATTCCTGGGTCTTTCAATGTGAATATAGTTGTTTCAGACCAAAATTTCTATTTCCTAGGCCTACCTTGGATTTTACCTCAACTGTCAAGTGTAGATATTTTTGTTAGTGTAGACCCACCAAACAACCAAATGAGATACATAGTCATATTAGCCTTCTTAGACTTTGGCTTCAGAGCAATTTGCAAACCTATGGGTGCTGAGTCCTAGTACGTTTTTATTCTTAAAAGACTAAATGCTGAAAGACACTAGGGAAAACTTATTCCAATCAGAACCTTCCAATTTCCAACATATGGTTCCAACTTTATAGCCATAAAAATACACTTAGCTCCAAAAACTAAATCTTTCTAAGTAAAACAAAAAAAAAAAAAATTATCCTTTACAGGCCTATTTACCTACCACATTTTTCTTGTAAACTTTATCAAGAAATAACCTAAATACTCTTTCTATTCCCCAAATGAAACTCCCTTGACTCTCAGTACTATTTCATATTAAATTTACACTACTTCTTATTAAATCTATGTCTCACGTTTAATATAATAATCTTGACGTTGAAATAAATGACAACTATTTCCTAATACTTTTACTTTTCAACATTTGCATTTACTTTTCAACAGGCTCAGCAAATAAAGCAGGAAGTTTATACCAAAAATTTACTTAGGCTATTTTTAATGTGAAAATATACTCAAAATTGAGATAATCTAGATTATTTTAGGTTAGAAGGAATATAGCTCAGCTGGTTAATTCATATTATATGCTAAAACATAAAGGATTAAGTAACTATAGTTCCCAAAGCATTAATATTCAAGGATCAGATCAAATGTTACATAGCCTAATTAAAACACATAAAATAGAACAGGTAGCTGGGCATAGTGGCACACAGCTTTAATCCCAGCATTTAGGAGGCAGAGGCACATGGATTTGGGTTCAAGGCCAGCCTGAGCTATATAGAGAGACCCTGTCTTGAGAAAACACACACACAGTTAACACTTGGCATTTGAGAACTTTAGTGGCTGATGACTGCTTCATCGAAAAAAAAAAAAAAAAAAAAAAATTTAAAATCTTAACCAGCATTTCAAAAGAAACATGAGAAAGGTTCAAGGTCTCCCTCTATAAACTAAGAGATTTTTTTTTTTTAATCTGTAACACTATTGTCAATATCAACATGCTTTATTTCTTTTCCACTGACACGAGAACAGGTCAGTTTGCTTCCCAGTATATAAAATACACATCTGCAAAGTGACTGAGGGTGGCACTACTCTAGGTACTAGAGCAGAAATGCTGAATTCCCCTCGCCTAAAAGGAAAAAAAATGTACACATGGTGTCCTCAATTACAATTCTCACATTATTTAAAAAAAAAAAAAAAAAAAAGCAATCCCATTCCTTTCATCCTTATGTCAAGGAGATTACGGCTCCTCTACAGACTGCAGACATCAGGTCAGCACATTCATGTCCCATAATCACACACGGACACTTGAGTCCTTCTACATGCTTTGTACTTCACCTCCTCCAGTCACTCTACTCTCCCCCTGTGTGAAGCCCAGTGATTTCTACAACAAAAAATGTATCGTAAGAATTTTACAGAATGTCAGTGATTGATAGAAAAGAGCTAAAGGTAAGTGTGAAGGGCTAAATTGAATTCTTTTCCACACAGGTGACTGCAGGTTATCTCAAAAGGCATGAAAGAAACTCTAATAAAACAGCTAAAGAAAAAATATCCAGCCTATAAAGCATTAATAATACTCAACAAAAATTATTAAAATGCACCAGTTCATATGAAAAAGTGTCAACTTCAAAAAGCAAAGGCACATTAACATGGAACATCCCTAAGTCACTTTTTCAAATGAAATATGACTATTTTTATCATACAAAATTCTATACCATAATTGAGTTACTATAAAGAGATTAATATTTTTCTCCTTGTATGTAAGTATCTCAGAGAAATTCAGGGTTATCAGCCTATAAAGATCTAGGGAAAAGGAGAGTAAGTAACAAGTCTTGTACAATCTAGGAGTATTGTAATTGTAATTCAAGAACCTATACTTTCACCCCGGTTACAATTTCCATCCTTTTCCAAGAAGTTAGCTTTGATAAACTTCATAAACGAAGAATTTCCAATTTCAAGAGAATTTTAGCTATTAGAATGTAGACAGGAGCCAATCAACAAACCTAACACACTGCTTGAGACAGAAATGAATTAGTAATGACTCTAGTTATTACACCACCATTTGTGCATGTATACTCCCTCTAACCTATCCAGGAGCCTTTGCTAACCTTAGTAAAGAACTGTCCTTGGCGACTGGTTTTTTAACATTAATTCTCCAACTTTCTTTGTTTATAAATCAGATTCACACAAGTATCGTGAAAATTCTGTAGTCACTCCTTACTGAGGATGCTGCTGGCTGGTTTCTGGGAAGGAAGACGATGCTATGGCAGAGGGGACACCACCTGAGGAGTTCTTTTCCATAACATGGATTGACGCAGTTCTGTCCGTGTCATGTCAGCACACTCACGTGCAAGACAGTTGTGGGATCAGGGGTGACAACAAGGATATTTAAGCCCTTGTGAAGATATATTCTGTCATCTTTGCTAAAATGTTTTATGGTCAAGACTGAAGATCCCTAAACTTCAGTTATATTTATTAAAATTAAAACAAAAAAGGAGGATTTTAAAAATACTACCTCACCGTTTACAAAAAAAAAAAAAAAAAGAAATTTGCATTACTCTTAATAAAAAAAATCTCATTTGAAGCCCCACTGAAACCAGAAGGGTCAGTGCTCCTCTGATAGAACATCAACTCTACAAATATAGTACACTTAGATGGTAGTAACAAGCTGAGTAGTGTTATCAATTGTCAGCCTTCCTTGGGCGTCTTTAACACTGCTTCAGAAATGCATATATGACAGCAAAACCATCGTGTCTTTTCCTAGTTTGGAATTCTTTTCATCAGTCTACACTCTGCATCTATCTCCCCAGGAAACATTACGCTTTATTCATCTGACCCACTGGTCGGGCGTTCCTTTTGGTCCAGTGTTTCCGTCTTCTCTCAACACTGCCCCCTTAATTAGAATCTAACCTCTAGCGGGAGAAGAGGCTACAGCATCACTTCCAATGTTGAGACTGAAAATGGCAGTCAAATTTTAAATAATAAACTTTCTTGTTCAAAAAATATAATCAACATGCACTAAGCATTTTCCCCATGATTCAGCAGAAGCTAAAAATTATAATCCTTTTCTCAAGAAAATGTCAGAATTCTACAATATTTCTAAGTCTTTGCTACATAGGAGATTCTCTCTGGCTATAGTCTTCCCAGCTGTTTAAATGATAATCTGTAATAAACTACCGAAAGCATATATATTGGGACATCTAATTCTGTACAGCCCTCACCTGGTTTATATCCGACTACTACAAGAAGATTAAGTTAGCTACAAATGTCCGTTAGCTCTCCCTCCTGAGATGTGGAAGTAGCCTGATTTGGGGATTAGTAGAGGAGCACTAAACTTGTTCCAAACTAGATACCCTTTTCCTCTCTGGTGATGGTTTGATTTGCTTCAGTTGTTGAACTCCATGTGAATACAGACCATCCCCTTTAACTGTAAATAGGTTAGCTGCACTGGCCAGTTAACGTTCATCAGCATTACTATATAGAACTGTTCCCATTCAAAATGCCGCAGGTCAAAAAAACACAGTGAAAATGTCGCCTGTGAATATCTCTGGGGAAAAGTACTGCATGAAAAAGTTCTGATTTGAGTTCTGTTTACTTTGACTATAAATAAGATTTATTTGTAGAATTGGAAGTGTCTACTGGAAAATGTTTATGGCCAATGTAGGGAACCTCGAGTGAAGAGTAGAGGTCTCTCAGACCTACATATCCCAGAACTGCAAGAAAAAGGAGTCCATAAGGGCATGCGGTATCTAAGTCCAATCCTTGGATGAATGTCAAGGTGACGACTGTTAGTCTCTAACTCCCCCCTCCCCTAGTCAAGTCTCCGCCCTCCCAGATCCCCAAGCGTGATTTTGCACAACAAGTTAAATAAAAGTAAACTGTTTATTAAAAGACACAGCAAAGATACAGATACAGAGATACATACAAAGATACAGATATATATATATTTACATATATATACAGTTTTGCTGTTCTCATGTGCACTGTATTTAGCAGCACAGTACTTAATCAGGCGGCATTTTAATGGGGTTGTTTTGACATTTGGCATTGTTACTGCGTCATTTTGACAAGATACAACTATTGCCTTGAGAAATTTCAATGTATAAATTCCACTCCTCCAACTTTTAATAGTAGCAAAGAGGGGAAGGAGAAGGGAATGGAGAACCAAGGCTGAACACTAGGTTAAACACAAGAATTCAAAAGGGCTAAGGTAGCACAAGGAAGGGAAAATTACTGAAATCAAAGGCTATCTGAAAACCCAGAGAAACAGTAAGAAACCATCACTTAAGGGCAATGGGCTATGTACCCAAGATGTTCACATCAGCCTACAATGACTTTCAATCCAGTTCTTGTGTTGAACCTGAGGATCTGCCTTCTCTCCCCTCAATCCCTCCATCCAATACACTTGCTACCACCAAAATCTAGAGCTATAGAGCCTTGAAGCAAAACGGGAAGCTAAATAGTTGTACCTTGGGCTACCTTCCCACAAGTGCATGGAGGGCCCAATGTTGGGTAGGGATGTGATAACACTTTTCTCTGCAATTCGATGCTTTTCACTTTGTGGCTTCGTTCCACAAAGTGAATTGCATCGAGTTACTGTCAAATGAGAAGCTGCGGGTTGTTTCATCTGTCGTTTAACCCGGCCCTGCCGTTTAACCCGGCCCTAAGAAGAGTGAAACAGAATCCAAATCAGATATAAAATAACAATAAAATGGAAGATTCAGATATAAAAACAAACATGTAATATTCCTACTACTTACCTCTGAGGGCAAGCTGCTGCTGAACACATTATCATCATCTTTGTTTTCTTCGCCGTTTTTCTCTACAGGAACCCACTCTCCATAAACACTATCGGCTTCTTTTTTCCGATGCTGAGATCCAGATGACACAGGAAATTCCTTTGTTAATGTTACTTGGCTCTTTGGTGGAGTTGGCTTTGCTGCAGCAATCTAAAATACAGTGTTTAATTAGAATCCATTACAGAGGACACCATAAATGTTTCTAAAGAACTTCAATAAAATCTAAAGGAAATGGTGACTTTCATTTTTCTGCAGTGCCAGGAACTGAACTTAGAGCCTCATCCTAGGTACCCACACTGCCACAGAGACACATTCCCAGCCCTACTTTTAGAGGGAATGTTGTCAATACTCATCACAATATTTATATACTAATATTTATACTATTTGGTATATATAGTACTCAATATACTAAACTCCACAAGGGTTTCATCAGTCTGGAAGCACTTTACTAATACTCACATTCAGATTGAAAAAAATGGGCTTGGGTTCACTGAGTTTAAAGGGATGATGATAAAAAGGAGGTTCTTCTTCCTCTTCATCCGAAACATGAGGTTTATTCACTATTACATCATCATCTTCTTTACTCTGTGCAATCTGTTTGCATTTCTTTAAAGTAAAAACAAACAAAAGATGAATAAAGTTTACAAAAACAGCATGTAATTTTTTAAAAAGACTCACATAAGATCAATTTCAAGTAATCAACATTTATAACAACTTATAGAACTATAATTTAGCTTACTAGATAAACTATTTAAACACACACTGGCTGCTCAGTCAGTCAACAACATTTATTGAGCACCTACTATGTGCAGAGCACTGTACTGGGCACTGTCTTGGGAAAAATTAAAAAAAAAAAAAAAAAAAAACAAGGAAGAAAGAGAGAAGAAAAAAGAAAGAAAGAAGGAAAAAAAAAAGGTAAAGACATGGTCCCTGCTCCAAAGGAGCTTACAATCTAATACGAGACAAGGGTACATATACAAGAAGTAATTGAAGAACCTTTGTACAGAGGCAACACAATAACAAGTACAAACTGATATAATACAAACAGGGTACATAAGTGCTAAAAGAACAAAGGCTTAAGAGAGAATATTCAGGCAGGGTTTGAGAATCAAAGAATATTCCTTCCAGAGTTCTAAGCGCAATTTCCATAGTAAAGAAGAGGAAATGGGAAGGCAAGGAAAGTTATCTTGGTCAGGAGAGACTTGTCAGACAGGACAAGAGTGCTGAAGATGAGGCAAACCACAGCAGAACGCCAAGTGTCCAGAGTTTTAGATAAAGAGCCTGCATTCAGTAAGGAAGCAAGAGGCTTTTTGCTAGGTCTTTCTTTTTTAAGTTATAATTCATACTATAATGAAATGTAAGCGAGGAAACAAACTTTATAATCCCCAAATGTATGGTAAAAGATTTTAAACATTTGCAGCAGGGTAAATAGTAACATGTCTCTCCATAAATGGTTTTTAAAATTTATTTCAGGACTGTAACTTAAGAATGGAAAATAAGGCATGATGGAGAGGGTGCAATTGATGCAGTCCAACATAGAAAGTCAATCCCTTCCTCAGAAGCAAAGGAACAGGTTCCATTTATAAAAAAGGTTAAGAGTAAATTTTAGTAGACCTGTCTATACAAGCAGAATTTGTCACATCTATTATCAATTGAAAATATTACAATAGAATTAAAAAGCTCAATTAGCCAAAAACACAAGAGTGTATCAAGCATGTAACCAATGAGAACAGAATATGTTGACAGTGGCAGGCTGGCATAAGGCTAGCCAATAACAAGTTTCAGTATATGAAACAGTGTGTTATTTCTGGATCCTAGCAGCAATATTTCAGCGTCTTCCCCCCACACACACACAAAAAATATTAAAGTAAAACAAAGCTTCCCCAAAAAAGCCTTAATTTCAAAAGATCAATTTTTTTAAAAACAAAAATAAGTATATTTAAAATATGTTACTGCCAAAACCCGAACCGCAGGAAGAACTGATAATGGCCGGCCATTATCGCCAATGGCTGGTACCAAACAGCCAAAACCCGAAATGTTGATGCGAAAGAAGTTCCTTTCAGGCAATGGCCAGCTATTCTCATTAATTTCCAAGCTCCGGTGGCAAAAGATCATTTCTGAAGATTGTCTGTGTCTTTGCGTATATGCAGTACACTCTTGGCGATCAGTGAACACGTCGTGAATGGAAACGAAACTGTAGGCGAGCTTCTGCGTGTTGCTCACTCAACACCTCCTCCATTCAAACGAACCGTTCCACTCCTCAGTCAGTTTGGCTTCTAAAACTGGAAAGCAAAAGTAATGGGAAGTAACTTTTTAGCTGGCGGAGCTTAGCCATCCCGGATAATGGCCTGCTAAACAGAGCTTCTGCCGCTGCCACATCTGTATTTCGGGTTTTGGGCACTCGGTGCCAGCCATTATCAGTTCAGCCCACAATTCAGGTTTTGGCACGCTCCAGAGTCAACATCCATGGAATAATCCATTTAAGAATGAAAACAAAGTCTGTCTAGCTTACCTCAGTTAGTTCTTCTATGGTAGCTCCTCCAGACTTTTTAGCAACTTTCTCTTCTATTGTAGGTGGAGGTGCAGGCTTTAGGTTTGGTGGTAAAGGAACACCAGCCTTAGCACACATGGCAGCTGCATTAGCTTTGGCTATTTCAAGTAATTGAGCCTTATCTGTAAGAGGAAAAAGACAAGAAGCAGTTTTCCTAAACGCTCTACATTTTTGTTCTATCTCAAGTATAATATACAGTAAAATTAAAGGCATCAGAATTCTGCCCTAAGTTACAGCCAGAACAAGGTAAATGGGCCCTTTTCAACAATAACACTATTCTTTGTTTCCAATTCAAATGCTACACACAATAGCTTACTATAAGTCTATGATGATCACCTAGCCACAAATTATAAGGCAGAAGTTTGCCAAAAGCAACATTATTTCCTAAAACTAGTATGACCATACATAAACCATTCTCATTTCGTGCTAGGGATGCAGTTTAGTTGAAGAATGCTTAGTGTATTCTTCAAAGCCCAGTATTACAGAAAACTGCGATCCCAAGCACTTGGGAGGTAGAGGCAGTAGTAGCGGACTTTTCAGGTCAACCTCAGCTACATAGTGGGCTACAAAGTTAGTCCCCGCCACCCACACCTCCCCCCCCCCATCCCTCTCTGACAAATCTCACTCTAATCTGACAACAACGTAATCCCTTATTAAGCCCCAAGTGCCATCTCTTTCAGGAAGCCTTAAACTGAGTGAGAACTAACACTCCCTCCCACTGTGCAAATGTGCCCCTACACCGTTAGTACTAGGGCAGTCACCACACTCCTCCAAGTCTTGTCCTTTGGAAAAAGGAGTACATTCTAGCAGCTTCCTTCACTAACGTACAATCACTCAGAGTTATTACTTGTTCCTCAGTTCTGAGAAAAAAAGAGACATCAGAAAACTCTTGTCAAACTGAACACAAATTCTGCTGTCTGGTCTTTTTCTTTAAAGACTGCCCTATCCAAAAAATTACCCACCAGGTAATCATACTTAAAAGTTTTAATAAGAAAGAGCTGTTTTTCTTTTTTCGGTTTTTCTGTGTATCTCTGGCTGTCCTGGAACTCACTCTATAGACTAGGCTGGCCTCGAAATCAAGAGCTCTGTTTGCCTCTGCCACCCGAGTGCAGGGATTAAAGGTATATGCCACCACTGTCCGGCTAGAAAACATTTACTTTTAAAGTAAAAGACAGATTCTTAATTAATGATTGCCACTTCGTTAAATAAGTTGCATCATTCATCCAGTTCACTCTCAGATATAAAATTTCCTAATTTCAATAACCAATCATATTACTCAGAATAACCTTCCCATTTAACAATCCTAGCTTGCCATTTTAAGATATGAAAGCTAAAGTCTGGCATGGTGGCTCAGCCTGTAATCCCAGCTAACAAGAGCCTGAGGAAAGATCACAGCCACTTTGGGCTTGCTACATGGGAAATTCCATGCCAATATGAACTACAGACTAAGACCCCGTCTCTTAAAAAAAAAAAAAAAAAAGCCAAACAAAGAAAACAACTACTAAAGGAGAAATTTTCAAATTCTGCTTATTTGCAAAGCCATGTGTTGAAATATGTGCAAGGCTTCTCCAGCTCCAACTTTTTTAATTAGGGTGAAATAACAAGTACAGACACATCAAGGCTCTGCAGACTCCCCACAGCATATCTTTTTAACCTTTCCAGTATACTCACTTCCCCTTCATTTTCTAAGCACAATTGAGTATCTAAACCAACAACCAACAATACTCCATTTGACTCAAGATCATCAGAAATCAAGCTTAACTCATACTCTATTACAATGTAAAACATGACTCACCCAAATCTGTTAGACGTTTGGGTGATCTGCCTCTTTCAGAAGACCTGGATCTTTTACGACGAATGGGAGATCTACTAAACCTTCTTCTCAAAGGTGTTCTTGATCGCCTTAATCTGACTGGCGATATACTGAAGCTTCGTCTTCTTACCACAGATCTTGATCTTCTCCTGCGGCTCGGAGTTCGGCTCCTGCGGCTCGGGGTTCGGCTCCTGCGGCTTGGGGTTCGGCTCCTGCGGCTGGGGGTGCGGCTCCTGCGGCTGGGGGTACGGCTCCTGCGGCTGGGGGTGCGGCTCCTGCGGCTCGGGGAAATGCTGAAACTCCTCCTTCTACCAACAGATCTAGACCTTCTCCGCCGACTAGGAGTGTGACTCCTACTCCGCCGACTTGGAGTTCGACTCCGAGCTCGAACTGTTTTCCGGTTGTCCCGGGAACTTGATCTTTTCCTCTTCCTTTCTCTGGACTTGGATCTGTGCTTTGGAGATCTCTTGCGCTTCTCTTTTGATACAGACCGTCGTCCTCTAGACTTAGATCTTGATCTGCTACTCCTTCTCCTGCGTCTTGAACGTGACCGTGAACGTGTCTGAGAACGATGAGACTTGGACTTAGATGACCTCTTCCTTGCTCTAGAACGAGACTCACTGGTACGCTTGCGTGACTTATGTTCAGAAGACTTGGAACGCTTACTCCGAGACCTTAATGAAGAGTCCCTTTTCTTCTCTTTTTCACCTTTGTCACGGTTTTTATTTTTCTTGCTTTTTTCATGTGTGTCCTTAACTTTTACAAAAATTTCATAATCATCCTTTTCCTCTGAAGAAGACTCTGAAGCTCTTTCTGGTATACTAATTACAACTGGACTGGCAGCCAATTTGTCCCGTTCACTTTCACTTGCAAGTAAAGGTCCTTCAATGCCAGCTCTAAGGCTTGTAAGACGTTCCATGTCCTTAGGAAGTAATGGTCTCACTAAGTCAGCTTCATTAATCTCATCAATGCTGGCAGGATATACTGAATCAGGAACTGTTTCTTTATTGGGAAGAGGTACTTCTTTATCTTCACTGCTTTCTTTAGGGCTAGGAGCAACTGCTACTGTCTGGTCACTGTCTTTTATAGGTAACGAGTCTTCTGTATCCTTACAAACAAGATTTGTAGATGGCAAATCAAGGTGAATGTCTTTAGCAGGCAAAGGTCCCTCTATGTCAGCTTCACTGCCACCACTGGGGCTGGTGGAAATCACCATGTCATGTTCAGTATCTTGAGTAGTTAAAGATATTTCAACATCATATTTACTATCTAAACTGGGAACAGACGCTGTGACAAATTCCAACCCCTTATTAGTTCCCATTGTGTCTGGTTCCAGAGCAAGTTGGGAAGACAGACTTCTTCCTACATCAGCTTCACTAACAGCAGGACAGGTATCCAATTCTGTGACTTCCTTTGTCTCGATGACGGGCAAAACTTTCTCTTCACTTGTTTCACCAACAGGACCAATGGCAGCAGCACACACTGTATTATGCTCCACATCTTTAGCAATGAAATGACTGTTTATAGCAAGTTCTGCATTTCTATCATATTCATTTTCATACAAGTCATTTTTCAAGTGTCCTCCATCATGTGGCTCTTCACCTGCATGCAACATAATCTCCTGCACGCCAACCTCTGGACCAAGACTTGGATCCCCAGAAAGTAAATTCATTCCTTTCATAACATGTGATGACAGTACACTGGACTCCACTACTGTTGGTGAAGACTCTAAAGCCATCTCAGGTGATATTATTTGAGTATGCTCCAAAACTGTGACAGCAGGTTCTGAAATTGCCACAGTAGGTTCCTGGACAGGAACACATGGTTCTGAAACAACCATAACAGGTTGAAGGACTGATACTGCTGGTTCCAAGACAGGCACAGAAGGCTCCAGGGAAGAAACACCTGACCCTGCAGTTGTAGCATGCTCTGGGTCAGCCAAAGCTGGGAGCTCCGGGACAGCCACAGGAGGTTCTGAGACAGGCATGGAGGAAAGCTCTGGAGTAGTCATAGCAGGAGGCTCTGGGGCAGCCACAGCAGCAAGTTCTGGAACAGCCACAGTGGGGGTTTCTGGAACAACCATAACGGGAGGTTCTGGGTCAGCCACAGGAGGAAGTTCTGGGACGGCAACAGCAGGAGATTCTGGGGCAGTCATAGTGGGAGGTGCTGGGACAGCCATGGATTGCAGCTCCAGACTGCTCTCTGCTGGCTGTGAAATGGTTACTGCTGGCTCCAGGAGGGACATAGACACCTCCGCTATAGCATGTCCTGATGGCCGCATGGAATCGTATGTTTCTGATGTCTCCGACATAGCAGAAGGCTCTGATAACACAGCTGGTTCAGCTGACATGGTAGCCTCAGAAACCATGTAAGTCACTGGTCTCTCTGTAACCATTTCATGTTCTGCTACTACAGCAGACTCAACTGGTGCTGATAGGACTGAAGATTCTGGCTCTTGTGCAGGTTCTGCAACAGTCATAACAGCCTCTGATGCTAACATTGAAGTCTCTGATTCTGACACTGAATAACTAGCAGGTACTGCCAAAGGCTCTGAAATCTCACTTTGACTCACAGGAGGCTCAGGCTGTGCTACAGATTCTTCAGTAGGTAATGTTACCTCTGTAGGCCAAGTATTGTCAGCTGTTAATACCGATTGCTCGGCAGATAATGCTGAACCCTCTGGTGGTTCCTCAGGAGGCAATGGTGGTGTCATTGGTGGTTCCTCAGGTGGCAATGGTGGCATTGTTGGGGGCTCTTCAGGAGGCAAAGGAGGCACCATATATGCCTCCGTATAGGAGTCAGTGTAAGAATCAGTATAAGAATCAGCTGCCATAGACATCATTGATCGATCAGTGTAAGATGACATCATAGATCGGTCAGCTGCAGAGTACGATGACATCATAGACCGGTCAGCTGCAGAGTACGATGACATCATAGACCGGTCGGCACCCATGGACATCATAGATCGATCAGCCATAGGGGACATCATGGAGCGCTCGTAAGCTGACATCATAGAGCGTTCATAAGCTGACATCATAGAACGCTCAGCCATAGGTGACATCATGGAGCGCTCGTAAGCTGACATCATAGAGCGCTCATAGGCTGACATCATTGAGCGTTCAGCCATCGGAGACATCATAGAGCGTTCATAAGACATCATAGAGCGCTCATAAGATGACATCATGGAACGTTCTGCAGCATAGGACATCATCATAGAGCGTCTAGATGCTAACATCAAGGGTCTAGGTGCTAACCTGTATGGCCTAGGTGCTATTCTATAGGACCTGGGTGCTATTCTGTAGGGTCTAGGTGACATCCTATAGGGATCAGGAGTTAGTCTGTAGGGATCATGGCCTAATCTATAGGGGTCCTGTCCTAACCTATAAGCATCATGGCCTAACCTATAGGGGTCATGACCCAACCTATAGGGATCCTGAGCTAATCTGTAAGGATCCTGAGCTAACCTATAAGGATCAGGAGATTTTGAACCCATCATAGCAGAATCTTGGGTACTAGATGCTAACATTTGGGCATCCATAGTACCAGATGCTAACATCTGAGCATCCATGGTGCCAGAAGCTAGCATTTGAGAATCCATAGCACCAGATGCTAACATCTGGGAGTCCATGGAACTGGTGGCTAACATCTGGGAGTCCATACTGCTGGTTGCTAACATCTGGGAGTCCATGGAGCTGGTTGCTAACATCTGGGAGTCCATGGAGCTGGTTGCTAACATCTGGGAGTCCATACTGCTGGTTGCTAACATCTGGGAGTCCATAGAGCTGGTTGCTAACATCTGGGAGTCCATAGAGCTGGTTGCTAACATTTGGGAGTCCATGGAACTAGTCGCTAACATCTGGGAGTCCATGGAGCTAGTTGCTAACATCTGGGAGTCCATAGTGCTAGAGGCTAACATCTGGGAGTCCATGGTGCTAGACGCTAACATCTGGGAATCCATGGTATTGGATGCTAGCATCTGAGAATCCATAGTGTTGGATGCTAGCATTTGGGAGTCCATGGTGTTGGATGCTAACATATGGCTCTCCATGGTGTTAGAAGCTAACATATGGGATTCTTGGGCCATCAAGGGATCCACTCCTACTGTTACAGAAGTCTCCCCCACCAGTGTAGTAGGCAGCTCCTGTGCTACCGTATTATAGGATTCCAGCGCTGTCGTCGAGGGCACCTCCAGAGACTGCGACACGGTCATCGTTGACAGCTCCGATGTTGTCACCACGGACTGAACAGAGATCTCCAGCGCCACAGTTGCCACGGGCTGCCCAGGCAACTCTGGCGCCCCAGGCTGCCCTGGTAACTCCAGCACCCCTGTTGCCAGGGGCTGCCCCAAAAGCTCCAGTGCTCCAGCTGCCCCAGACTGCCCCGAGAACTCCAGTGCCCCAGTTGCCATAAGCTGCCCAGGCAACTCCAGTGCCCCAGTTGCCACGGGCTGCCCTGACAACTCCAGTGCCCCAGTTGCCGAAGGCAGCCCTGACAACTCTGACACCCCAGTCACTGAAGGCTGCCCAGACAACTCCAGAGCTGTGGTTGCCACTGGCTGTCCTGGCAACTCCAGCACCATCGCTGCCTCCGGCTGCCCCAGCAACCCTGTCGCTGTTGTCACCTCAGGATGCCCAGGATGTTCCACCGTCGTCATCGCCACAGGATGCTCGAACTCTGTCGTCGTCACAGGTTGTTCGGTCAACTCCATTGCTACTGTTACTGCAGGTTGCCCTGTCAATTCTACTGCCGCTGAAACTGCAGGCACCCCTGGCATCTCCTGTGCCATCACAGGTGGCTCTGGTACCTCCTGTGGTGGCTCCAACCCCACGGATGGCGCTGGAGGCCCTGGCAATTCCTGCAACAATGGTGGCACTGGTGTCACAGAGGGCCCCGGCAACTCAGGCACTACTGTGGCAGGGGGCCCTGGCAACTCAGGCACTGGGGTAGAAAGGGGCCCTGACAACTCTGGCACTGGGGCGGCAGAGGGCCCAGGCAACTCCAGCACTGGAGTCGCAGGGGGCCCCTGCAACTCCAGCATGGAGGTCGCAGGTGGCCCCGGCAACTCCAGGGCTGAGGCCACCGACGACTCCTGCAGCTCCACCGCTGTGCTCTTCGGCAGCTCCAGTGACTCCTGAGGTCTTGTCAAGGATGAATCTGCCATCTCCGATGGTGCTTCTGCAGGCTGCTCTGGCAATCTTAGTGCATCAGTTGTAGATGACTCTGGAAAATCCATTGTTGATGTGCTTGGTTCAGGGTGCACCTCAGGGGGTGTCTCTGATACTATCATGAGGGTTTCTGACGGCTCAAGCACTTTTGCTACGGGAAGCTCTACCGGCGTGGTCTTTGATAGCTCTGGAGCCGTAGTCTCCCAAGAAGACTTGAGCACAGACTTCTGATACTCCACTGACATTGTTACAACGGGCTCAGGTGACTTCAGCGCTGCTGCAGCTGCAAAGGAATCCAGAATCTTGGTTGGGGACGGTTCCATCATTACTGACTCAGGCTGCTCAGACTGCTCTGAGATGACTGGTGCAGATCCAAAGGACAGTTCTGCAGGCTGGGGAGCAGGCTTTGGAGTCTCTAACATATGTGACTCCTGAACCTCCACCGATCCTACTGGAGGTTCCAGCACTAGAGGGGTTTCACTGGCCTCAGAAAAGCCAAATGCTCTTACAGGATGTTCCAGTGCCATTGCTGAAGATTCAGAATCAAACTTTAAAAAGGAATCAGATTCTAGATCAACACTCCCATCGTGATGAGATTTCAACTTGGACTCAGGTTCTTCTGGTTGCCTTTTGTATTTTTTTTCCTTTTCTTTCTTCTTTTTCTTCTTTTTGTTTTTGTGCTTTTTATGCTTCTTTGACTTTTTGGTGGGAACTTCATCAGTAGGATCTGTTTGTACAGACACACATCTACTTTTTCTGGAGGCCTCCTTCAAGTCTGAAAGTAATGAAAACTTGTCAGCCATTCCCCAAAGTAGATTCATACAAATTACCACTTGTTTCATTTACACGTAGCAGTCATTGTATAATTAATCTTACTGCAAATAAAATTTACAAAATAATCTATTGTCTATTAGCCAATAAAGCTGAGGCTGCCATTTCTCCAGGATTTATAAAACTAAAATCATGAAAATAAATTCTTGGTCTAACACAAAAACCTATTTAGAACTAAATGAATGTTTGAAGGTAGGATATAGCTCAAGGTCAGAGTGTTTGCTTGGCATGTAAAGAGACTTAGCTTCAATGTTTACCTCTAGTGACGGTAGGGGGGCGTGGGGGTGTTTCACTAAAATCTAAAGTTCTTTTTTTCCTCAGAGTCAATGAAACAGCTCAGTGTGTAAAAACACTTGTAGACAAACCTGATGATCTGAGTTCAATCACCAATATGATAGAAGAAAACCAACTCCACAATTACCTCTGACTTCCACAAATAAGGCAGTCCACATACACATGGCTGTTTACACATGCATGCATGGATAGCTACCCACTCACATGTGGGCACAAAAACATACAATATTTTGAAAATCATTCTTTTCTTCAGCTGGGTATGATGGCACATGCCTTTAATCCCAGCATCCTGTAGGCAGAAGCTGGCAGGTCTCGGTGAGTTCAAGGCCAGCTTGGTTTACAAAATTCCAGGCCAGTCAGAATTACAAAGTGAAGCCTTGTCTCAAAAAAAGGAACCCCCCACAACCTTTTTGTTCTCAAATTATAGCAAGTTTTTTAAAATTACGTCAATGAATTTACTTCATATTTTGTTTCAATTTCTATTAAAAGAAAACAACTCCCATTACACGACTAATAAGATTAATGTCCAAAGATAAAAACAAGTCTCTCATTTAAATAACTTCTAATATTTCATCAGCCATCATTTACACAGGAAGTGATATGTCACTCGCTCGGCTTAAAATTTGATAATCCTGGGGCTAAAGGGATGGCTCAGTGGTTAAGAGCACTGGCTGCTCTTCCAGAGGACCTGAGTTCAGTTCCCAGCACCCACATCAGGCAGATCACAGGAGATCTGACACTTTCTTCTGGTTCCCAGAGACACCTGCACATTTTCACACACATGTAATTAAAAAAATTTTTTAAGCCGGGCAGTGGTGGCGCACGCCTTTAGTCCCAGCACTCGGGAGGCAGAGGCAGGTGGATCTCTGTAAGTACGAGGTCAGCCTGGGCTACAAAGTGAGATCTAGGAAAGGCACAAAAGCTACACAGAGAAACCCTGTCTCGGAGAAAAAAAAAATTAAAAATTGATAAATCTTAAGGAAATGCTAGTCAGATATACTAGGGATTCCTACTATTGAAGAAAAAAATACCAACACTAAACATTGTATCAGAAGAAAATGAATCATTTTCTATTGCTTATTTCACAGCATCAAATGGTAGTGTATACCTAAACAAACAAGAATGCCAGAGCCATGATCTAAGCAAGACTAGCTGTTACTTTAATCCGTATCTTATGAGAGAACCATACCACACACCTAATTCCTACAATTAATAATTTATTTTTGTAGTTAATCACAGACTCTTCATTTTTTTTTTTTTTAATTATTTTCTTATTGGGTTTCGCCTATATGTATATCTGTGTGAGGATGTTGGATCCTGGAGTTACAGACAGTTGTGAGCTGCCATATGGGTGCTGGGAATTGAACCAAGTCATTTGTAAGCACCCATTATTTAATCAATTCCAAAAAGGAAATACTACGCAATGACTGTGCTTCAACTTGCTTTGTACAAACAAGTCAACTTCTTTTTTTGTTTTATTTTTTTGAGACATGATTTCTCTGTGTTTCCTTGGCTGTCCTGGAAATTGTTCTGTAGACCAGGCTGGCCTTGAACTCAGAGAGATCCACCTGCCTCTGCCTTCTGAGTGCTGAGATTAAAGGTGTGTGCCACCACGACCTAGCACAAGTAAGTCAACTTCTAAGCATGGGATTTAAAACAAAATCTAAGGTGTCTTAAAAACCACTAAAGATGGGCTGGAGAGATGGCTCAGAGGTTAAAAGCACTGACTGCTCTTCCAGAGGTCCTGAGTTCAATTCCCAGCAACCACATGGTGGCTCACAACCATCTGTAATGAGATCTGGTGCCCTCTTCTTCTGGCCTGCAGTCATATATGCTGTATACATAATAAATATAAAAAAAAGTTTATTAAAAAAATCTTCAAAAAAATAAAAAAAAAAACACTAAAGATTTAGTTTAGGATATTGCACCTTACCAAATTGATATTCAGGGGCTAGAACAATGTGCTTAAGAAATTGTAGTGCTCTTGCAAAGGAACCTGGTCAGTTCTCAACACCCACTTGATGGCTCACAACTCTCTGAACTCCAATCCATAGGATTCAATACTCTTGCCTTCCTCAGGCACCAGCCACACACAAGCTACATTTCCATATACCCAAACACATTCTGATATATGCAAAATAAAAATTAGGAGAAAAAAAGACACCAAAACCTATCTTAAAAAGAGCTGATATTAATACAATCCTTCAAAGAAGACACATATAGCTGGGCAGTGGTGGCGCACGCCTTTAATCCCAGCATACGGGAGGCAGAGCCAGGGTTCAAGGCCAGCCTGGACTACCAAGTGAGTTCCAGGAAAGGCGAAAAGCTACACAAAGAAACCCTGTCTCGAAATACCAAAAAAAAAAAAAAAAAAAAAGACACATCCTGCCATTTTAGTCACAACAAAACTGAATTAAATAGAGATTAAAAAAATCTTATTTTACCAGTAAGTCAAGAAAGTGCTCCAATGTCCATGTTTGAATATAACTGTTTTCAAAGGAGGAGCTCAAGACACTATAAAAAAAGATTAACCTAGCCAGGCATGATGGCGTAGGCCTTTAATCCCAGCCCTTGGGAGGCAGAGGTGAGTGGATCTCTGTGAGTTTGAGGCCAGCCTGGTTTACAGAGTTCTAGGACAGGCTCCAAAGCTACAGAGAAACCCTGTCATGAAAAACAAACAAACAAACAAACAGATTAACCTAGAAACAAACAGTGCTATCAACATTAGCAATTTTTAGACTTCTAAAGTTACCCTCGACGTACCTGGCTTGTATCGCAGTTCTGTGTCTAGGACCCCAGAAAGGACTTCCTCTATCTTCTGCACGATCTCTTCGTTTGGGAGACTCCGCGTCGAGGCGGCTGTGTCACCTGCCTGGCTTCCTTCAATAGGTGCGTTTGTTTCCCCATTCAGCTGGCCTTCACTCCTTCCGCTTCGCAAGAGAAAGTTTAATCTTCATGAATACTTTTATCACACCATGATTCAACATTAACAACCTAGTTAACATAATCTTACATTACACTATATTGCCCATACAACTCACAATTTTCTAGTTCATGTGTTTGCCATTAATAATTCTTAACACTATATACTCAGATGGAATGCTTTTATTTTTACACAAAGTTTTCAGAACTGTGATAGAAAGAAGTCCTTAAAAGCATTTTTCTAAGTTTTAAAATAAACTAATGGGCTATCGAGACGGCTCAGTGGTTAAGAGCACTGGCTGCTATTCTAGAGGACCCAGATTCAATTCCCAGCACCCACATGACAGCTCACAACTGTCTATAACTCCAGTTCCAGAGATCTGACACTTTCACACTAATGCACATAAAATAAAATTAAATAAATTAAAAAAAAAACTAACTTAAAGCTTTCAGTTACCTAAGTATTAATGAGCCAATACACAAAGAAAAATAGATGACCCAACATTATGGTAGAAAGTGTGGCCACAATAAAGTCACCCCTGTACACTGTTAACAATCAGTCAAGGCAGACACTGGGTAAAAGGTTACTTGTAGCCTTTCATCAGGTTCAGATTTTGAGTGAAATGTCGTTGAATTTAAAAAGGAAATAGTATCCAGTAATTTACACCTATTAAAAATTCTGCACCTAAACAATTTCTGTAATTCAAGAAATTCACACAGAACTAGTTTATACTAATAGTAAAAAGGTAAATGGCTTAACCTATTTTCAGATCACAAGGCCAAAGAATGTTACTGTAGATAAAACAAGGTCACTCATGCAAACATTTTTACTCTTTTTGTGCACACTTGCAAAAAAATTTAACTCATTCAGTTTCAACTAGACTTTTACTAACTGAATATAAAAACTACTACCTAACAATTTCATTGGAGAAACAAAAACACTTTAGTGAGGAATGATTGGTTTTCCAATAAATAACATTTATAAATACTGACTAGGGCCACTTTTTGTTGTTTTGTTTTTAAGACAAAGTTCTCACTATGTAGCCCTGGCTGGTCTTGAACTTGACAAGATCTGCCCACCTCTATCTAACTGCTGGGGCTGACAGCATGCACATCTGGCCTGCCACATATTTTTAAAAAATCATGCAATCTTAACAAAACTCTACAATCAGGATTATTATTCTGTTTATATAAATGGAAGAAATGTATCTGTACACAATAAATTGTATATTTTGGTCATCTAAATGTTGGTCTCACCATCTATACTAATGAGTAAGTATATAAGCAAACAAATGGGGGAAAAATAGCTCGCTGGCGTGGCAAACCAAAAAGTTTTAGACCTATAGTGAGTGCCCTAGAGCATGCTGTTTGTTGTAATAATGCTCTTTGCAGACTTCGTAACACAACTGTTTTACACTTTTTCTAAGCATTTATACATACATACCCTGGTTTTTTTGTTTGTTTGTTTGGGTTTTGAGACCGGTCTCTCTATTCTGTCTGGCCTGGAACTCACTACTTTAGACCAACTCATAGGGATCTTTCTGACTCTGTCTCCTGAGCACTAGAATTCAGGAGCTGGGCATGGTGACAACTCGGCCATTGTGAGGCAGAGGAAGGCAGATCTATGAAAAAAGACCCTCCGGCTGGGCAGTGGTGGCGCGCACCTTTAATCCCAGCACTTGAGAGGCAGAGCCAAGTGGATCTCTGTGAGTTCGAGGCCAGCCTGGGCTACAGAATGAGTTCCAGGAAAAGCTCCAAAGCCACACAGAGAAACCCTGTCTCAAAAAACCAAAAAAATAAAAAATAAAAAAATTTTTTTTAAAAAAGACCCCTCCCCCCAAAATTTGTGGTTTTTCAAGACAGGATTTCTCTGTGTAGCCTTAGCTGTCCTAGAACTAGCTCTGTAGACTAGGCTGGCCTCGAACTCACAGGGATACACCTGCCTCTGCCTCCCAAGTGCTGGGATCAAAGCTTTGCAACACCACTGCCCAGCCAATAATTTCTTCTTAAAGCTACCAGGATGTTAATTACAATTACTGAAAAGCAACTAACTAGAATTTCAAGCCACTTTGGTATTCAACAATGTGTCCTGAAAAGGAATTTAAGTAGTTATGAGAAATGTTGAAATTATTGAGACTTCAAAGGACATAATAGTATGATCACATTAAGAGAAGACGTATGGCTGAGCAGTGGTGATGTACGCCTTTGATCCCAGAAACTGGAAGGCAGAGGCAGGAGGATCTCCAAGTTCGAGGCTAGCCCTGTCTATAGAGTGAGTTCCAGAGCAGCCATAGCTGTTACAAAGAAACCCTGTCTCAAAACCCATCCTCCAAAAAAAGAGAGAAGACATGTTTATATTGGAGGAAAGAATCTAATTTCAGTAGTTAATTTTGTTTTCTCTTTTATGGTTTCTAAGTGTTCTACTACATCAACAACCAAGAAAAAGCCATCACTCATACTGTAATAAGAAGCTATAAAAACACTGGAGGGGTGGTCACAGACCTGTAATCCCAGCCCTGGGGAGGCAGAGGCAGGTGGATTTGTGATTTTTTGAGGCCAGTCTGGTCTATATAATGAGTTCCAGGACAGCCAAGAGCCAGGGCTACATAGAGAAACCCTGTCTCAAAAACAAAACAAAAGGGGGGGGGGGCTTATTAAAACAAGTAAATACAATTAGTACAGGAAACTACTTAAACTTTCAGAAGGGTGGCTGTGGTAGCACAGGACATTAATCCCAACAGAGGCAAGCAAATTCCTGTGAATTCAAAGCCAGCCTGGTCTACATAGTGAGTTCTAGATCAGCCAGAGCTACATAGTGATACCCTGCCTCAAAACAACAAAAAGAGCCGGGAAGCAGAGTCAGGCGGGTCTCTGTGAGTTCGAGGCCAGCCTGGGCTACAGAGTGAGCTCCAGGAAAGGTGCAAAGCTACACAGAGAAACCCTGTCTCAAAAACAACAAACAAACAAACAAAAACAACAAAAAGAAGTTTCCAGGAAAATTATATTCCCCTCGTTTATGTTTTGTCTCATTTAAAAAAAAAAAAAACTTGCCAATGCCTCAAAATGTTTTGTTTTGTTTTTTAAAAAGGCAACATAGTGGGGATATATATAGTCCTACTTAAAAAAAAAAAAAAATAGCTGGATGGTGGTGGCACACATCTTTAATGCCAGCACTCAGGAGGCAGAGGCAAGTGAATCTCTGAGTTCAAGGCCAGCTTGGTATACAGAGCGAGTTCCAGGACAGCCACCTATACAGAGAAATCCTGTCTCAGAAAAACTAAAAAGGAAAAAAAAAAAAATCCAGGGAAGTGGTAGTAGCTCAAGATTGTGATCCCACCCATCACTTAGGAGGTGATGAGTGGGAGGCCTGTTTCAGCTACATGACAAGGCTGTACACAGTGATATTAGAGCCTGGCCACAAGAAAGGGGAAAAAAGAACGAAAAAACCTACATCTTGAAAAAAAAACAAAAACCGAAAATTCCAGCAATAAAGTATTATTGACCAATAACCCTTGCTAATAATATAATTTAGGCACATAATTTACAACTGCTTATCAGCTGATTTTCTAATTCACATATTACTGTTCTCAACTTACAACATTGGTAAGAACATTTTTACCTTGGAATATTACTTTTCAAGAACACTTTCTTACTGTATTTTAAAGAAATGGTCATTTTATACGGAAACAAACAACTAAAAGAAAACCATTTAACATAACCCGCACTAATTTCCGGAGTAAACAACTTTGGAAATTTCTTCCACCTGAAATTTTGGGAACCAAGGCTCATCTCTTAAGTCTACTAGCAGCGACAAAAACAGCGTGATGTTCTTCGAATCTGTCCATTAAGTCAGAGTAGCAAGAAAAATAACAGATCTACACAGAGAGTCCCCTTTCTACTTAATAAATTAAGCAGTCACCGCTCTCAAAGCCCCCTTCTATGCCTCTGCCGAGTCTTTTATCGTGCGTCTTATACCGAACTGAGACGTTTCAGTTTACAACTGTTACACGAGTGCTATCCGGTCTAATGCACGGGGCACTAACTGGGGCTCGAGGAGTCTAACCCACAGACTCCGGCCGCCAAGCGATCTGAAGCGTACAGTAATAATGAAGTTTTCAGATTACCCAAGAAGCGGCCGTTAGAGACCCTTTCCGGCCATGGACACCGGCCGGCGAAATGCGCGGAGGCGGGGAGGGGGAGGGGAGAGGCGGCGGCGGAGGAGGAGCTGGGGAAGGAACTAGGCCCGTCCCCGGTGGACGCTGGGCCTCGGAGCCGTTCAAGGGTAGGGGGTCTCCGAACCAAAGAAAGGTGAACGTCTCTAACTCGAGGAAAGACATGGCGTGTGCGAGCACCACGGCAGGGGCGACCTTTCTCGAAAGGAGCGAACGGAAGACTGGGGGGATGGCCCGGAAAATGGAGCCCGGGCCCAGGCGGGGCCGTAGCGGGGCCTGAGCCGAGAGACGACGGCGTCTCCGTGAAAGATGCCACGGAGGGATAGGCGAGGCCCTAACAGCCCGCGAGGGGCAGAAAAGTCTGGGGAGAGTTTACCTGGAAAGCTCCTGTTGTATTTCCCGGAATTTACTGACCACGAAAGACCTAAAAACCTGCTCGATGTCGGCCGCCATGGCGTCCGCTCCGTTCTCTCAACTCCTCCTCGCTAGTCCTCCAGGCTCCCAGCATGCCTCTGGAGGAGGCGCAGCGGCCAATTCCTTTTATCCCTTCCCTCATTGGCTGGCAGGGGCGCGTCCGGCCGGGCACGCTCCACCCACGAGCCAATCAGCGAGCACCGCCCCGCTCTCCTCCGCTGTCTCCGAGCCGCCGGGGTAGAGGTGCTGACGTTTGCGCCGCGCACCAACGGGTCCGCCATGTTAGTGTTTGACGCAGGCGCCATTACAGGAGAAGTCGCTCCCGAGACGACCGTGCCCCGCTTCGGCTGCTGCTCCCCTCAGCCTGCGGGGACTTTTTTAAGAGGCTTTCCCTAGCGAGTAGATAATGCTCGAGATTAGAGGCCGTGAAGCAAGGGGGGGGGGACAATGAAAAAAAAAAAAAAAACAAAAAAACTGAACTAAATCAACCTGTGTACTTTAAAGGTATGTAGACAATGAAAAAAAAAAAAAAAACAACAGCCACCAAGGGGGAGGGGTCTGGCACGGAGCTCGAACGCGTTGGTGGCAGGCGCCAAGTTTACTTTGATCACCGGGAAGGCGTGCATGAGGGAGAGATGCTCAGCCCGTGTCCCCACGGTTGACGCGGGCCGGAGCAACTCCCATTCTGTCCGGTTCCCTCCTATGACCGGCCTCACGTTATTGTTAGCGGAGGCTGGGGGCGCCTGGGGGACCCGCGATCTGCACAGGGCGCCCAGCACTAGCCGCACGGTCCGCCCCGGCCGCGCGTCGGCAGCCCTGGCTCTGCCCGCCCCCCCAGTGCAGGAGGCTCCGGGGACGGACGGGGAGGCCTCCCGCGGCAGCCCTGACAAGTGTCAGCTGGCAGGCAGCGTGCTACCGGGGATGAGCAGCCCGGCCGGGCAGCAAGGCTCCGACCGCACCCTAGGGCGGGAGGAACCCCCACGGCTCGCCTCGCGGGCGGGGACCCAGCCGGCTCCGCCAATGGGCAGCGGAGCCCGCCGGGGGCGGGGGCGGGGGCCGGCGCGCGCCGAATTCCCCGGGCCGACTTCCGGCGGGTGCGTTTGCTGGAGCAGCGTGGCGCGGCTTTTGCAGGTGCGTGAACCCCCTCTGTTTTTAAGACGGTGCGTGGACCGCGCGTGTGCTCGGGCTGGTGGGCTTCACCTCAGCGGCTCGTGGTACTGCTGAGACCGGTTTTCGCGGGTTGAGAAGGGTCACGCGCTGTGCACGGCGTTGACCGAGGTCGGCCTTGTCCGACTTTCCGATTCTGAGACCCGGTCCGGGTTTTTTTTGTCTATCTTTGCCTTTTAAGACAGACCCTGTACATCGATGGGTTTTTATCATTGTCACTAACGGTCTAGCTGCACCACTTTCGTGTTTGGTTTCTACTTTTTTTGTTTTGTTGGTTTTTCGAGACAGGGTTTCTCTGTGTAGCTTTGCGCCTTTCCTGGAACTCACTCTGTAGCCCAGGCTGGCCTCGAACTCACAGACATCTATCCACCTGCCTTTGCCTCCCGAGTGCTGGGATTTAAGGCGTGCGCCACCACTGCCTTCGACAATACTTTGGGAATGTTTTTACCCGTAAGTTGCCTACTAATTAACTGACGCCCAAGAAAGAAAAGTCTGTCCAGGTCTCCCAGGTAGTAAAGTCCTTTCATTCCGGAGCACTCTCCTGACCAGTACTGCTGTTTCACTGATTCTGAGTAGTAAATAAAATTGTGTTCTTGCGCTGCTGCTCTTACTCAAAGTATATATAAAGATCTATTGGCGCCAGGCCGTGGTGGCGCACGCCTTTAATCCCAGCACTCGGGAGGCAGAGCCAGGCAGATCTACAAAATGAGTTTTAGGACAGGTACCAAAACTACACAGAGAAACCCTGTCAGATCTATTGGCTTCGGCTATTTCTAAGCAAATGACACACAGAATTGAACTAAAAGCCTTGTTGTATGTGTTGAAGTCTTTCCGTTGCAGGCATCTATGTGCCCCACGTGGCTGCAATGCCCCCAAGGAAACCGGAAGAAGGCGTTCCGTCTCTGGAACCAGAGTTAGGGTGTTTGTGAGCCACTGCGTGGTGATCAAGATTAAGCCCCGCACTCTGCAACAGCACTAAGTGCTCTTAACTGATGAGCCACTTACCAGCATGTTTGATTTTCTCTAAATGTGTAATCCCAAACTAAAGGATCAATTTAAAAGTTACAAATGACAGTTTCCTTTTTCCTGTAACCCATCTTCTGCTTAGGTAAATGTCTTGATAACTCCTTTGCACACACCACATTTGGTGCTAGAAATTGAACACAAGGCTTTATTCCGAGCAATAACTTTATTTCTAAACTACATTCTGTCTTTGTTATTGTTGCTCCAGTTTATCCAATGACTTGGTAAGTTGTCTCTATTCCTAAGGTATCAGTTTAAGTAAGCAAAGTGATATAACAAATTAGCGTTTCCTATTTCTGGGTACTTTGTAATATACAATATTTTAATGTTACCTCAGTTCATTCTTAACAGCTAAACGTAAGCAAATGCCAGTAGTCAAGTGAGATATGTTAGGATTTGATTTTGGCTTCTCTAACAGATTTCCAATCCAGGGTATCCCATAAACTCTTATATCATAAGCCTGCATGTGGTGAATAAATATTGTGTACCCTAATAAAGTGTGCCTTGTGGATCAGAGAAGCAGAGAAAGCCATAGCCAACCTTACCTTGCCATCTTCACAAATCTACTGACTGAAAACCTGAGTCCTCACCCGGAAGGATCTCAGCTGAACTGCTTTAGTTCCTGTTTCCTCACGCCTTATACACCTTTCTCCCGCCCTGCTGTCACTTCCTGGGATTTAAGACGTGTGTGCTTCCAAGTACTGGGATTAAAGATGTGTGCCACCACTGCCTGGCTCCCTTTCCAGCGTGGCCTTGCACTCACAGAGATTCAGATGGATCTCTCTGCCTCCCAAGTGATAGGATTAAGGTGTGTGCCACCACTGCCTGGCCTCTATGTCTAATCTAGTGGCTCACTCTGTCCTCTGATCCTCTGGCAAGCTTTATTGGGGTACACACTATATCGCCACACTTGCAAGCTAGGGATGACATACAGATGATTTTATCACTTGTTTTTGTACAGCCACCAAACAAAAAACGGTGGGAGAAGCCAGGCGTGGTGGTCCCCACTTGTGACAGAAAAGACCCTGTCTTACCAAAAAAAAAAAAAAAATGTGGAAAGAGAAACAGTATTAGTGCACTGGGTGGTAATACCACATGCTTGGATGCTTGGGAGGCAGAGACAGGCTGATCAATGAGTTCAAGGCCAGCCTGGTCTACAAATCAAGTTCCAGGACCGCCAGAGCTGTCACAGAGAAACCCTGTCTCGAAAAGCCAAGAAAGAAGAAAAGAAATGGCTTTAGTGCATATGGAGTTCAAGTTGCAGTGTCCATGCTAACGAGATTGTATAGAAACACACTTGTGCTTATTTTGTTATGAACCCCTACGGCCCCCATTGTTTAGAGCACTAATTAAGGCCAGTAACCTGTGCCAGCTGTTTACATCAATAGTCTTTCTGGATGACAAACACTCACCCATCGATGTGCTGCACCTTCATGCTTTATTCAAGTTCTGCCTCAGAGTTTGGACACTACACAGATAGCTCTCAAATATATTTATTTCCTGGCCCTTGACAGAAAAAAAAAAAATGTGTACTGTTAATACCTGTTCTCTATACCACGCCAAGGTTTAAATTATTGATGTTTTAAATTTAAAACATCAACACTGGATGTAGCAGCACATGCCTATTGTCTCGGCTACTTGAAATGCTGAGGCAAGAAAATCTCTTGAGCCCAGGAGTTCGGGTCCAGTGTAGGCAAAGTAGCAGGTCTCCATCTCCTAAACAAGTAAGCAGATATCAAAATCCATTTTCCTGCTAAGGCTTAATGATTATCAGATCTCCCAAAAGAAGACTGTTTATGGATTATTTCTCAGATAAGGCGCTGTATTAGTATAGAGTTGTTTTTTAAATTTATTTATTTTTATTGGTTGGCTAGAGTTTTGTTGTTTTTGTTGTCATAATATTACAGACTGGGTAAGTTACAAAGAAAAAAAGTTTGTTTAGGCTTATAGTTCTGGAGGTGCGCAATCAAGGGGCCCCTTCTTTCTAGCATCAATGATAGAGCATCCTATGGCAGGAGATACATGGCATGCATGTGTGCATTTCTGTTTGGTCTCTGTCCCACTTATTTAAAAAATAAAATAAAAAGAAAAAATCTTAGGACTCACTCCAGAGGCAGACATAGCAATATATCTGAGTTCTAGGCCAGCCAGAACTCCATGGTGAGACCCTGTCTTAAAACCAAACAAAAACCTCCAGTTTAATCGTGGGTGCTCCACCCTAGTGCCCTTATCTGAACCTCGTCAGTCCCCAGAGGCTCAGTCTCTAAATACCATCGCTACATTATTTCTGCTCTCTACTACCTCACAATATGGATTAAATGCAGCACGTGAAGCTTGGAGGGTGCTCAGAGCCGACCCGGAGCTGAGCTACCATTCTCAACTTAACTGAAACTCTTTTTTTTTTTTTTTTTTTTGGTTTTTCGAGACAGGGTTTCTCTGTGTAGCTTTGCGCTTTTCCTGGAACTCACTTGGTAGCCC